TGGAGACCAGGCTGGCCTTGAACTCACAGAGATCCGCCTGCCTCTGCCTCCCGAGTGCTGGGATTAAAGGCGTGTGCCACCACCGCCCGGCTGCTTTGCCTAACTGTATACAATGCTGACAACATACACTTTTTGTTTTCAATCTAGAGGTTAGTAGCTAGGGAAAAAAACAAGCTCAATTTAATTAAGCAGAAGGCTCAATGAAGTCTCAGCAATGAAAAGTTCACAACATACACAGCCAAGGAAAGACTGGGGCTTTCTGACCAAGGTGCTGCTCACCCTGGGGTAGAGGAAAGAAAAATCATTGTTTTTTCTCAGGTGAGCACATACTAGGAAGGGCACAGAAGGGTGGGGAGGGCCTTTCCCACTGAACCACACTCAACAGTTTCTGTCTAGAATCCTTACTGAAGTGTTCTTTATATTTGAAAACATTTGAATTCGGACCACTGACATCACAATGAGGTGTAGGTGTGTGTGTGTGTGTGTGTGTGTGTGTGTGTGTGTGTGTGTGTGTGTGTGTGTGTGCACATGTGCGCATGTGCCCACATGAACGTTTTGAGTGTGTGGGAACCATGGACTCTGAGGCTAGAGGAGGAGTCAGGTGACTTTCTCTATTGCTCTCCCCTTCATTCTCTTAGGACAGGGTCTCTCACTGAACTGGAACTCGGATGCAGCCAGACCGACTGGTCAACGAGCCCCCAGGATCCAGCTGTGTCAACCCCAGGGCGTGGGGGGTTGCAGGCCCATGCAGCCATGCCTGTGCTTTCTGTGTGACACTGGAGACACAAACTCAAATCCTCACACTTGCAGCCATCTTCTCACCACAACCTCAGGGCTGTCCAGAATGGTCTGGACATTTTAATTTTGGCCAGATTTTTTGACCCTGTTGTAGCAAGGTCAAGACTCTTGGCCTTCTAAGTTTTCACTCTGTGGTAGGCACCTTTGGATGTCAGTAAGAGACTCTAGTTCAGGGTTTCGGTTCCTGTCCTTCCTGACAAACGTTACAGAAACAGTGTCGCATAAAAGAATGCCTTACTTTTTATTTTGTCTCGCTCAGATTCTGACGGAAATATCCAATCTGGAAAGAGCTCTTCAAATTTGATTCCGGGGTACTTTGGCCTGTTTTCCACATAATTCCTCACGGTTGGCTGAAGTTTCTTCATGAACTCTGCGGATGGTGTTCCTAGCTGTTCAATAACTTTATTCCACTGATCAATATCTAAGGATTCTCTTGAGGAAAATACAGCTGAAATGCTTTACAGTCATAATACATACAATACCGTCATGCAAAGGAAAATTATATTTATACGGACAAGTAAGTAACTAGGCCACCCCACAGGATCAGCAAAAACATTTTGGAATAATATTTAAATAAGGTTTGGGTTTCTAAATTACTTAACAAAAATTCTTATTCTCTGCATCTTAAAAACTATGATCATGGTTCATTAAATCAACATAATCTATGTTTTTTCTGTTATAATTCAAAATAAAATTATGACAAAAATGATTTAACCTATGATATGATTAAACATGAAATAAATAAATATTACATAAGCAAACTGAAATCAATTTTCATACTAAAGCTACCACAGACTCACAGGTCTCTGAAGGAGAGAAGAGCTCGAGAGATCATGTGACCTCTCTCACGGCTGGGCAGCAGAACCTGTGAGACAGGCTGACCAAGAGAAGCATGGAGAGGAAGGGGCAGGGTCCAGGCTCTGGCCTTCCCCACAGACCACATTCCCTCCTGAAACTGCCTTGGACAATGGTGCTTTCAGAGACCGTTCTGTGTGATTGGCACCGGCCCATGCCGTCAGCATCTAGTGATGTGCTGTTCCCTCCTTTCGCCGTACATGACCTGAGTGTCAGTCAGTGTGTACTGCCCTCTCAAGGTGACACCAGCTTTGCCTAGCTCTTAGGTGTTCATCAGGCTGAGGGTGGCGGGGACAATGTCTGTGCAAAGTGACACTGAAGCTGTAAACAGTCACATGAGACAATGCAAGCTAAGAAATCACATAAGCAGGAGCTTGGAAAGTGACAGGCTTTCTCAGAATATGCATTCACACCACTGAACATCACCTAGGGCCAGCCACACACACCCAGGGTGCTCATTTGGAGGACCTACACAGGAAATGGGTTCAGAGAATGAGATCCTGAGTGCTCTCCTTCTCTTCTCCTTTCACACACTTGGACAAATTGGGATTATGCACACATTTTTATTTAGTTGCTTAGCCAGAACAGGGGACCTGGCTCATATTATCCCTCTTTCCATTCACTTTTAACACCTCTTCCTTATACTCATTCCTCACTGTGAAGACTAATCCTAAGAGCGATGTGATGCCCCCACCCCCATATCTCTGTGCCACTTACCACTGGGAACCATCTGGGCTTCTGGCTAAAAGCCAAGCCCACCTACCTTCCCTCTCACCTACTGAAGGACGAGGGTCTCTTATTCTTATTTCCTGCTGCTCCACCCCCAACCTGATCTCTACCAGAACCTTCTGTCATCATGCAGACATGATGCTCTCTTACACGATGCTCTCTTCCATGTTAACAACAACCACTTTCCTCTGACATCCTAGCCTGTTGACTGATTCCTGTATCTATTTCTTCTCTCCTTATCCTCTCCTAAACATACTCTCATCAGGCTTCCCTCCCCAGTCATTTTGAAAACTGTTTCCATTAAGGTTGCCAGGGGCAACCACTAAATCCAATGGTCAGTTCTGAGTCCTTCCTCCTTTTCCTTAGTCCCCGATCCTTTGTTCATCTCGTCAATGCTTAGGACCAGCTCAAGGTTTCAGTGCTATCAACAGACCAATGATTTCCATATTCCTTTTTGTATTTCAGATCTTTGCCTTGAACTGCACACTTGACAGATTAGATACTCAGAATTCACAAAGTCATTTGAAGGTTACACGCTCAGAGCAGACTCCAGTGCCAACCCATGGTCTGGCGTGAGCCCCCACCATCTCTTTCTGGGTGACTAACAGCCTCTGCAGTGTCTCCTCTTTTCCTAAGTTGGGCAGTGAGCCTTTTACACCCTCACTTGGATGAAGCAGCACCTAGAAACGGGTAGGCGCTCTCTCTGTCTCTCTGTCTCTGTCTCTGTCTCTGTCTCTGTCTCTGTCTCTGTCTCTCTCTCTCTCTCTCTCTCTATATATATATATATATATATATATATATATATATATATATATATAATTTGATTTTACTTCCAAAATAAAGGCTTATTTATAACTTGGAACAGATAAATCCAAGGTAAAATTATGGAAAAAATGCCAGGGAAATTATTAGAGCAAAATAAAATGCTATATTTAATTTTGCATATTTTATAACCTATGAGGAAAATGTAAAGAATGATAAATACAAAATGAGTGGAATAAGAGATTTCACTCTAAGCTCATGTTGTGAGGAATTCGTTCGTATTTTAAGAAAGTGCTCTTCACGAGATTATAAAAACTAGAGCACTTTTTGTGACGCACACTCACTCCAAACCCTGACTGCAGAGCCTGTTCCCTTGACCTATGGGTCTGCTACCAGACAGCGGTCACTACAAGCTTTCACAGCACAAACAAAATCAAAGAGCCATGAAGATCTACGGGTTAGAACACAGATGGGAAGCACACATGAAGAAGCATGTTAGCGTACAGAATGCGGAAGATGGGGAATGCACAAGGAGAGAGACTGTGCTGTGCTGTCTGCCCCCTTTACCCTCCACGCTGACAGGACTTGCTGACCACGCACGAGTCATCTTTTGGGTTCAAATTTACCTTCCCCAGTGCCACAGATACCCCTCTGCCTGGAGTCTTTAGAAATGTCTATAAAATGTCAACAAAGCAACAAACGAGAAAGTGTAATGTATCGATCCTGACACAATTTTCATCTAACTGTTTCAGTTGAGTCTGCTGCAGCTCTGACATCATACCAGTAACTAACAAAATCATATATGACTTAAATCACACATGCATGTTAGCCTATTAAATTTAGACTGCACCTTTCCCAGTTAATTAATGGAATGAACTAATTTGTAAAATAGTATTTCCACTTAAATATCAGAATATATTGACCAAAGAGAAATAATTTTACACATCCAGCTGTGTCTGATAAAAGAGCGAATATGACTGGTTTAGCTTAACTCTAAGCCTTAAAAAACTGTCACAGGTATTTGAGAAAAAAGAAATGCAAAACTGAACGACTTGATCTGTGACACTAATTTAGCAAGTGTAACGAAGGCCCCTGAGTACACAGTCTGCATCCCCACAGTTCCTTCTGAGAGTTCAGCAAGTAGGCGCAACCATGCTGCCCTTGGCATGGAAATCATGGCCAAGGTCAAGGTCCTGGGGAAGGATACGGTCAGTGCCTTGGAATATCACACAACCTTTCACCAGCTCTCCCATGATGCAACCCACTGACCAGATATCAACTGAAAATAAAATGAAATGATAAAATTATGAAGTGTCATGAACGAAACAAAAGTGAGAGAAAAGGAACTCTAACGGTGTACTAGACACACAACTGTGGGCGAACTTCTCACACAGCACCATGACTGCTGACCTCTACTTTAGTCTCGGGTTTGCAGCAATCTGTGGTTTAGTGCCAGAGTCCAATACTCTACAGCCTCAAAACAAAACAAAAGAAAACAAAAAAGGAACACACAAACAAAAAACCAGACACAGGAAGTGCCAACGAACACAAAATTCTCAGGGCCACTCCCCCAGCCCCACCCAGCCTCCAAGGCCGAGTGCTGGGTCTCTCCCTGTGAAGGATACAGTCTCTTCCTGGGAACAGGACTTTATGGAGGACCATTTCTGCCATGATGCACCCGACAGACCAGATGTCCACTACCAAATATCAGGTGATTAAAAAACAGCCAGAGAGCCTTGCATCTCTGTTTCTAAACCACCTCCCAAACAAGGGCAGCCCCAGGAAACACTCATCAGGTGAACTTCTGTAAAATCCTAACCCTGAATGTGAGTGACCATTGTCTAAATTGCCACAGCAGAAAGGTGGCAGCCAATGAGGAAGGGCTGGACTCCGGGCAAGGCGTTGCTTGAGCATGGCTCTGTGGTGTCTGTCCTCTTGTGTGGGATCAAGCATGGGGCTTGGCTGAATCTTGTGCCTCGGCCAGGGAAGGGAGAGCTGAACAGAGGCAGCTACTGGAGGGCATTGTGCCTCTCAGAGCAGGCCATAAAGCACCTATATAAACTCATAGTCAAACTCATCTCTACAGACTTTAGCAAATTTCCATTGTTCTTTCCTTTTCTCTTATAAATAATCACAAATATTTGTTCAGGGCTAAAGTTTAGCTTATATTTAATTGACATTGCTAGAGCAAGTGAATTTTTGATGTCAAAAATATCAGCTTTACGTGAAAGGAAACACAGTATTGTTCCATTCACATCATGGTTAAAAAAAAGAAGTAGTGAAAGCAGTCTACCGTGTTGGCGACCAAGGGACACAGGTCCCAGGGTTGCGGGTCACATGGGTGTGCACACTGAAAGCTGCACACTCAGTCAGTACTGCACTCCTGTGAGCACACGGTACTCTGATCCAAAGTGAAAGATTTTAAGTCCAGCATGGCAGCACACGCCTTTAACTCCAGCGTTCAGGAGGCAGAGGCAGGCAGAGTT